TATGAAAACTCCTGCTTTGGAAAGCCCTCGTGGTGGTACCAGGGTCACTTTACGAAGCAGCTAGAGTACCAGAGAAGGGAGAGCTGGGGATGCCTATGGAGGGACTTTTTATCCTCCAGGTGCTCTGCAAGAAGAAATTGACTCAGGTCCAGTTCATCATGTTAGAACATCTTCGTTCCTGAAACCATCCCTTTGTTCATGAGAAGCACTGTCTGTCGGTCTGACTGTAGTCTTGGCTTCTTCTGCAGTGGTTGTCCTTCCCATCTCATGGGGTCTCATCCTTGAATATCTGGAGGTAAATCCTACAGGCAGGTTGATGGCTTTCCTTTTCCCTTCACATTTGATGCTTTTCAGTTTCCTTGTCCAGAACAGACTTTGCAAAGTTTCTTAACATAAGTTAGATCTGAAGTAAAAGTCACAGCATTTGGAATGCTCTTTGGTGACAGATGGCATGTTTGGTGTGTTCCAGTTGCCTTGCACTGTTTTTAAACATGTAAAGTCATAGCTAAATGTGGATTTATTGTTTGTGATGAATCAAAGCACATAAAAGTATCAAAACTATACAAACTTATTTACTTGTATAGTAATAAGCATTTACATAGAACTTACTCTGTGTCAGATTGTCTTCTACTCAAACTATTAACTCATTTAATTCTCACAACAGTCCTATGAGGTAAGTAAATTATTATTCTTATTTTACGGATGAGGAAATGGAGTCACAGAGAACTTAAGTAACTTATCCAAGCTCATAGATAGTGGAGTGGAGACTTGAACCGAGGTAGTTTGGCTCCAGGGCCCATGCTTTTAACTAGTGTAATGCATTATCTTTCACTAAAATTTGCAGCTGCTTGGATGGGAGTTAAGCCTTAGTTACTTTTATAAAAACTGTCATGGAAATATGGGATTACCAAGTATTACAAATAAATGCTGTCATCAAAGGTATAAAGTTAGGTTTTTGCTAAGACAAATTATATGACAGCATTCATTTAAGACAAAAGACTGGTATTCTTCTTGCAAATTATTATCACTGTTACTGTTGTTGTTATTATTATTAGGAGTTTTCTTGAGACAGGGTATCACTGTATAGCCAAGGTTGGCCTGGAACTCCAGATTCTTCTACTTCAGCCTCAGATGTGCTGGGATTATAGGAATGTACCATTATGCCCAGCTGCAAATTATTTTTATATGCTCACTGAAAAATGACAGGAAGGACATATCTGGAGGTTAATAACTTTTTGCTTTAGTTTCCCACTCAAGTAGTTACATATGGAAGTAATAAAAATAATTTTCTTTGCAAAGATCAGTCTTTTTATCAAAAAGTGAAACCATTGTAGCTTTTTCTTTGAATGGAGGGAATGGCAGAGCAGCTCGCTGCTTGAATATATGTGGCTGTGTTTATTTGAAGGGACTCTTAATGACTAATTTTCTTTTCAGTCTTAACTCTACTGCTTTGAGCAGAGAACTAGCGTTGAAATTAATAAAGATCTGGTGGTCCTGTTAGTCATGTCATTTTCCAGTTTGTCAGTTTCCCAGATCCAATTATCTTGAGGTGCCCTTGGAGAAGTAGAGGCTGTGGGTACTCCAGAGAGAAACTCAGACTTTATAAATAGCTTCAGCAAGTGACTGAATCTACCAGGCAGGGTGTGGGTGACAGAACTAGAAAGGAGGCAGCTTTCCCTTCTTCACTGCTGTGTTATGCCTCCTGTACAGTCATGACCCTCCTCCCCCAACAAGACTCAATGAGTGACAGGGTGAGGACACAATCCAAGCCAGCTTTCCAAATTGTTGGTAAAGTCCCTCTGAGCAACCTGATTGGAGACGGCCAGCTTAACTTTGGATTGCCTTGAGTCACACAGGCAGGCAGGTATTTCCCTTTTAATTTCCTTTTGATCTTTCCATGAGTTGAAGGACGAAGTCTCAGTTTAGTACCCTGCATCCTTAATACTTCTGACCCCTCAGAATCTCCCTTCATACCAAGGGGTGGGCCTCTAGGACTCCCAGCTTGGATAGGCAACACTCTTTACTATTTAATTACGTTGCTTTGTTTCCATTGGTTTTAGTTTGTTCATTCCTGTCTACTTTGGTGGGGGGGGGCAGTACCAGGGGTTGAACTTAGACCTTGCTCTTGAGCTACTCTGTCAGCCCTTCTTTCTACTTTTGATAGGGAATGCTGGCTTTCTGTTTATGGTAGTGATAAGGTATTTCTGTAAAAAGTAATGGGAAAAAAAAAAAAGGTGAGTCAATACAAAGGAAAGTGCCAAAGGGCACAATGATATTTAGCTATGGCAAAATTGTGACTGTTGTAGAAGAATGGTTAAAACTTGGAAAATGTTGGTCTAATATTAGATATGGTTAATATTGTAGAAATTCACACTCTTCTTTGAAAGTCTTGGGACCAGATTTGTTTGGAATTCAGACTTTTCATGTCTTTTTGGTATGGTGCTTGTACTGTGTGTGATACAATTCCCATGGAGGACATGGGCCAGTGCTGTTACAAGTATGGTACAAATTCTGCAGTGAAATGTGTGAACATTCACCCCAAATGGGGTAAATAAAACTGATACATGAGAGGTCAGATTTGGTCACCAAATATGCTTTTGAACTAAATGTATGGGAGAAAGTTTTGACTTTTCAGAGCTTTCTACTGCAAATGCTCAATTTTTTTTTTTTTGTTAGGGGTGAGGTAGTACTGGGGTTTAAACTCAGGGCCTTACACATGCTAGGCAGGTGCTCTTACTGCTTGAGCCACTCCACCAACTCAGAGCTTTCTAGATTTCAGAATTGAAGCTAAAAGAGATTGTAGACCTGTCTTTGTAACTCAATTATATCATTTTCTAAAACCCTATTCAAATTAATCATGTAGAAAACAAATTAGACCCCAAGTTAGACAAAGTAGCCAGACTCAGCCATTTTGTAGTTTATTTCACTGTTTAGTTATGATCTCCTTCTAGATCCTGATCTGCCACATATGGCAGGTAGATTGTTTGTGAAGGAAAGTTGAATCCTGTATTTCAAAACAGCACTAATTGCTAGTTCTGCTCATCTTTGAAGCAGAGTTAGGCATAGATGAACCTCATCTATTTGGAGCAAAACTGAGAATTTAAAATTATGTACCCATTGGTAGAGGGCCTGCCTGGTAAGTGCAAGACCCTGAGTTCAAACTCCAGTACTGCCAAAAAAAAAAAAGAAAAAAAAATCAAGTTACCTAAGATATCTATCTATTGCTTGCCATTGTCTTGAATATATTCTTAGTTCTTAGGTTAGTTATTAATGAAGTCATAATTTGGCAGTAATTAAAAAGCATGAACAGGCCCCCAAATGTGATGGCAGAAATGCCAGGTGTTTTACAGTCTGAAAATATGATATTATAGAACAGGTTAGCCAGGATTAATCACACTTTGGAAAGGCCATATTGAATCACTTATGATTGTTTTTAAAACACTCTCTAAAATGACAAATGAGCAAGTGTTTTCTTACTTCAGAACACACCGAAAGTATTCTGTCAGGTTCTTGATTTATAACCTTTGGAACCTTGTTTTTCTTTTGAGTAATCAGAATGAAAATGTGTAGTAATTGATCATAACGGTTATGCTTGTGAAGTATTTGTAGTCTTTGTGTATCATATTGCTAATTATCTAAATAAATTAAAATAATCCATCATGAGTATAAGAAGAAACTATTTTCTTTCATTTTGTATATTTTCTTAAGGAACTTCATAAAATTTCACTTCAGTATTCAATGGAGAAGTAGATTTAGATTCAGAATCTGAAGGCAGGCCCATTTGGGTTGTACAATTCATATATCTTTGTAACTTTGATGTAATCCAGTACTTTCTATGAAAGAATAGAATTTTTAGTTATAGTACAGCAGTCCCACAGTAATTAATCCTTTTTCATTTCCGGATTTGCTCCCATGGGCTCACCCAGATTTCATGCTAGGCAGGACATATTCCATTTCTAGTGGTACTGAACTAGCACTATTGCTTTTGTACCCATTCAAGAAAACTTACTGTGCTGTAAGTGAGGATGACATTTCCTATGGACGCAACGTGGAATCTGCCCTATTAAAGTCTTTACAGACACTGATAGTCTTATTAGAACAACACTGTGATTAGTATTAATAACCTGTACTTTACACCAAACATGGCGAAAAATCTCTATTCATAAAAATGATGGACGTAATAATAATAGTGATAAATAATATTTACTGAGTACTTAGTGTCACCTGCTTTACATGTCTGAACTTATTTCATCCTCATAACCATGCTACAAGGAAAGCGTAATGATAACTAACCCGCTTTTATGGATGAGAAAACTCCATGAGGGTGTCTGGAGATTTAGTAAAATAATAAGCCAGTCACAGGAAACAGGGCCTCTGGCTTGGATCTGTTTTATTGCTTTCAACTCTTTCTTTCCTACAAGTACACTCACATCTCAACTCCCGGGTCATGGCTGAGCAACCTCATCTATTTGGAGCAGAGCTGAGGACAATGGAGCAGGCAAAACCATTTCTGTAATTAGAATTAGTCTTCCACGCTCCAGTGGCAGATGACATGTCCTGCAAGCCATGAAGAGCCAGGACTCTAGGCTTTGTGCTGTCTTTGGACACTGGGTCTGAACCTATTGCATACCTGAGAACCACAGCACAACCACTAATCATGCCTCCAGGTTACTAATAAAGAGAAATGGAGTTTAATCCATTAGAAATTAAAAGCTAAGATGGGGTTGATTTTTCAAAGATCCCCAGTGAAGAGGAGAGTAGTGCTTGAAGTAGGCAAATGCTTATTTTTTCTAGAACTCTTTATTCTGCATGAAAATTCTAGATGACTGAGGTTTGATATAGAAAAGAAGATACTGAATATAGGTCTCAAAGTGTAGACAGCAAGATGCCATGTTGAAAAAAATGCACCCTTGACTTTTTTTCTTATGGTTTGACTAAGAAGATAAAGCTTAACGATAAAATAAATTCTTCCTGTCTTATATGTCCTGTTTTATTTTCCTTTAGATCATTCCTTTGATGTCCTCAAAAAGTCCAAGCATGCTCCAACATTCCTTGCTGCAGGTCAGCTTACTGACATGCTAAATGGCGGTGACGAAGTCTATGCTAACTGTATGGTGATAGATCAGGTAAGGCACAAGGGACACCACCAGAGTCACTCTCTTGAGTATGAGAAATGCAGTCAGAATCATTGTGTGCCTTGAAAATTGTGGCCCCAGAAGCAGCCCAGGGGATGATGCTGTGGTCGGTCTCCTCTAAGGCACATTTAACTTGGTTCTGGTGTCAGTGTACAATACACCTTACCTCAACCAGAAGCATAGGAAGGGATGGGTACTGGGACACTGCCAGATGAAGTGGGGCCAAAATAGCAAATGGCACTATATGTATCTTCTGTATAGCTTTTCAATACACAGTGAGCATATGCTGTGATTAGGCAATGTTTGTATTCAAACCCAGCGAACAGTAATGAGCAAGTCTCTGGCCCCAGTCCACGTGATGCTGTTACGTGAATTACTTCTTTACTCCTTATAACCCATTTGTTAACAGGTATACCAAGGTTATATTTTCATATCAAAATGAAGTGGATCATGTTACAGGGAAGCTGGAATCTTTGAGAAGTTTCTTTCTTCCCAACAAGTACACTCAAATCTCAACTCTCTGGATCATGGCTGAGCAACCTCATCTATCTGGAGCAGAGCTGAGGACAGGGGAGCAGGCAAAACCATTTCTGTAATTAGAATAGAAGGGACGCTCCAGTTTCTACCCATTTGTTGATGGAAACTGGTGAATCAAATTTCATACAGGCAGAGAGTTTGAATGTGCCAGCATTTACTTATCTTTTGCTTTTCTCTAACTCAGTGATCTTCAAATTTTAGCATTTATAAAAATTAAAATACACTTAGAGATGTGAAGATTTCTGTTCACCTAATTTAAGGGATTGTCATGGATAATTTTGACAACAATTTCCGTCTTACCCACTGACTTTAAAATCTAATCCCCAAATAGGATATGCCATATATATGTGTATGTGATAAATCATATATATATATGACAACAAAATATTTTGCCTTTTTTGTTATTAATATGCATATACTTTTTTTACTTGTAGATGTTTTCTGTGATACCAATTTTTTTTCCTGTCTACTAGGTCTCAATGCAGTCCTTTAGTTGAATAGTTCTGTCTTTTTTGTTCAGTGTTAAAGCTTTGTTACAATCAATACATAGTATAAATGGGATAAATTGGGATAGAATTCAAACTGACAGGAAAATCAATAAAATATATATCAGCTGTAAATATAGGTATAATTGTTTTGGTATAAACCAGCTGAATGTCGTTCCTAGTTATAGAAATCTAGGTTGGAGTGTGGGACAACTGGGAGTTCTGGGGATGTTCTTTCAACGTGCAAAGTAATTGGACTTTGTGTACTATAGTCACATTCTGAGATGTGTGTGTGTGTGTGTGTGTGTGTGTACATACATATATAAGATAGACTTATTTATTACATAACTTATTTTCTAACTTTTTTGAAGTATAGTTGCAAAATTGTATATATCTAAGGTATACAATGCGATGTTTTAGTATACCATATACACTGTTGAAGTGATGACCACGGTCAAGCTAATTGAACATATCCATCACCTCACGCAGTCATCTTTTGTTGTGAGAGTATTTAAGATGTATACTCTCAGCATATTTTAAGTACACAATGCATTGCTATTAACTATAGTCACCATATTGTAGTTTAGGTCTTCAGAACTTATTACCCTCTGACCAACCTCTTCCCATTTCCTTCACCCTCTAACCCTTGAACACCACCTTTGTACTCACTGTTTCTATGAATTTGATTTTTCTACATTGCACATCTAATTGAGAATATGCAATATTTGTCTTTCTCTGTTTGGTTTACATCAATTAGCACAGTATCTTCTCAGCTTACCCATGTTGTCTCAAAAGGTGGGATTTCTATCTTTTATTTTTTAAGGTTGAATAATAATCTCTGTGTGTGTGTGCATGTGTAAAATGACACACTTCTACCATATTTTCTTTATCCACTCATTCATTGATGGCTGCATAGGTGATTCTATATCTTGGCTGTTGTGAATAGTGCTGCTGTAAATGTGGGGGTGCAGATATCTCTTTAGAGAGTGGTTTGATTTCCTTTGGTTAAATACCCACAAGTGAGATTGTCAGGTCATGTGGCAGTTATATTTTAATTTTTTGAGGAACTTCTATGTTGTTTTTACATAATGGCGGTACCAATTTACATTCCCAACAACAGTGTCCCAGGGTTTCCTTTTCTCCACCTCTTCACCAACAATTGTCTGTTGACTTTTTAATAATTACACCTAACAGATGTAATGTGATATTTCACTGTGGCTTTGGTTTGCATTTCCTGATAACTAGTGATGCCAGGTACATTTGTATACACCTGGTGACCATTTGTGAATTTTCTTTGGGGAAATGTCTGTTTAGATTCTTTGCCCATGTTATTTGGTTTTTTTTTTTTTTTTTTTTTGCTGTGGAGTTATATGGGTCCTTATAGATTTTGGCTATTAACTCCTTATCAGATACATATTTTGTAAATATTTTCTCCTGTTCCATAGGCCTCCTTTTCATTTTTTTGAGCATTTCCTTTAGTAGCCAGAGACTTTTTCATTTGTCATAGTCCTGTGCTTTTGGTGTTATTTCCAAAAATTCATTGTCAAGACCTATGGTCATGGAGGTTTTCTTCTAGGACTTTTGTGATTTCAGCTTTTGCATTTAAGTCTTCAATGACTCTTGAGTTGTTTTTGTTTGTTTGTTGGTATGGTATTAAAAAGGGATCCAGTTTCTTTCTTTCTTTCTTTTCTTTTTTTTCTTGTATGTGGATGAGTAGTTTTTCCAGCATCACTTACTGAAAAGACTATCCTTTCCCCATTGTATTTTTTAGCCAAAGATTAGCTGTTCTACTTGTCTATGTGTCTCATTTTATGCCAGATCCACAGTTTTGCTTAGTGTAGTTTTGTCAGATAATTGAGACCAGGAAGCGTGACACCTCTAGCTTTGTTTTTCTTCTCACAGTTGCTGTAGGGATTCTGGGACTTTATTGGTTCCGTATAGATTTTAGGATTGTTTTCTAACTTCTGTGGAAATGTCACTAAAATTTTGGCAGGGATTGCATGGAATCTGTAGATTACTTTTGGCATTGTGAACATTTTGACAATATTGTTCCAATCCACAAACGCAAGGATCTCTTTCCATTTCTGTCTTCCTCCAATTCTTCTGACAGTTTTTATAATTGTCAGTGTATAAATATTCCCCATGTTCTGATTTTAATGAGTTTATTCTCTTGACTTATTTTTAGTAACTTCAATGAAAGACTTAAGTCCTTATTTCATTCTGTCCTGAGCCTTAGTGAATATTATATTATTTCAATTTACTCCAACTAGCCAAAATTGTAAATTGCTCAATAATTTGTGGGCAAAATTGTCTTTATATGTTCCAAAATACATTAAAAATGTAAAATTTTTCCAAAACAAAGATAAGGTCAGATATAGTTTCTACTTGGGAATATTTTGGGTGAGAGAAATATTGCTTTTTATTGTTTATTAATAAACAAATGAGAAAAGTGAAGCAAAATTTAAAGAGAAAGCCTGATTCAGTAAGCTAAAACATAGCAGAAGGCTGCTGAATTTGTGCAAATACAGCCAAGGAATAAAAGTAACTGCTTCTAAGCCACAAAGGTTGTTACATCAGTGTAGAACAGTTGTCATCTCGACTCTGTTGTTATTCCTATGTCCCCTTGAGTAGCAAGCATAATGTGAGGAGCCCAAATCCTGCATACTGAAAACAATTTTTACAGTATCTGAAAAGAATTCTATCTAGTCTCTTTTGTCTCCCTAATCCTGACCTAGAAAGCTGAAAACATCATTAGCTTGTATGCTATGCTGTCTGACTGTTTGCAATTAATCTGCAAGCTTATCAACCTTGTAAAATCCATATTAGGAGAATTACTTTGAAAATTTCATTGTCATATAAACTGCTTTGAAAGAACATTCTATTTAGACATAATTTCAGCTCAAGGAATCCTTGTATTCCTTTTGCCCCAGTTCCCCCAAGGTTAATATTTTACCACATTTTACTATATTATCCTGTGAGTGGGTGCTTGTGTGTATGCACATACATGTGTATGCAAATGGGTAAAATATAGATGTAAATTTTTTAATGATTTAAAAATATGGTACCCCTTTATCCCTTAAATATTCATGATATATCTTTCTACAAACATGGATAATCTCTTACATAAGTATAATATAGTTACTAAAATCATGAAGTTATCATTTCTTTCTCTCTCTCTCTCTCTCTCTCCTCTCTCTCACTCTCCTTCCCTCCCTCTCTTTCTTTCTCTCTGCTTTTGTTTTTTTGGGGGGGAAGGAGGCTGGGGATTGAACCCAGGGCCTGCACACGCTAAGCATGTCTTCTACCATTGCGTTACACCCACCAGTCCTATCTCCAAATGGTGACTCTCTTCCTTTTTACTGTTGTGCTCCCCAGAAATGATGCCTTTAGAAGACCACCACCTGAAGTCACAAGCCCTTTAAAGTCTCTTTCTAAGAGCAAGTGCTTTGATCATCCAGGGCCCTATTTCACAAGTGCAGGCTGGACTTCTTTCTGGCGATGAGTTTTAGATAAGTTTTAGGCCCCCCACTAGCTCCCTATTCTCTCTCATTCAGTTCTTCCCAAACTTCCCCTGCCTTTGGCAAAGTCTATAGTGGGAGCACAGGATGCTGGCTGGATTTCATGCTTACCTTATTATTTGCAGGTAATTTGAGGTTTGGGAATTTTCTTTCTAATTATGCAGTGTACATGTGCTTTATGTAGTTTTATTTTCTTGTTGTTTCATAGTGTTTTTTGTGAGACTCAGATTTATGTGACTTTACCTTGGTTACCTAGATTCTGCTGAATTAAAAAAAGTTGTTTTGTTTTGTTTTGTTTTTGTGGTACTGGGGCTGGAACTCAGGGTTTCACCTTGAGTCACTCCACCAGCCTTTTTTTGTGAAGGGTTTTTCGAGATAGGGTCTCACGGAACTATTTGCCCGGGCTGGCTTCAAACCGTGATCCTCCTGATCTCTGCCTCCTGAGTCTCTAGGATTGCAAGTGTGAGCCACTGGCGCCCAGCTCTGAACTACTTTTTAAATAAAGCTGTATATGCTTTAGTTTTGTTCTCAAGTATTTAAAATATTTCTCCTCATCTTAAGTCAGTGGTTTATAACATGCTAAAAGCATTATTAGTTTTTGGTTTTGTAATAAAAGACAAATTTATGAAACCGTCTTCTTCCTTTTGTGAATTACAGGATATATCGCCACATGAACAAAAACAAATCTTAGAAGAATCAAGCACAAAATAAAATAAGAACAAAACAAAAAAGATAAAAAAGGTGGAAGGTTTTTATATTAGGAAAATTTTATTAGTTCTTAGCTAAGCCACTCTTTTTCTGCTTTTACTCAAAAGTTTTTTCCTTTAATTTCCAGGTTGGTGACTTGGCTATCAACTATATTAACATAGAGGGGATCTCCACCCACACCAGCTCTGAATCCATGGAGTCCACTCTGGGGCCTCAGAGTTACAAGTGTGCTCCTCCTGATACCAGCCCCAGTGTGTACCCATCCGGTGAGAGCAGCGAAGCCACAGCAAACACTGAAGACCAGAAGTCCTTCAAATCAACACCTAGTTTGTACACTCCCAATTTGAATCTTGCTTTTGGTCTTCGTGGATTTGAAAAGGAACAAAGTCATCTAAAGAAAAGAAGGTAAGATACCGTATTCTAGAGGAAAACTATAGAAAACTGAGAACCTTGTTAGCTAGACTTTGATAAATCTACTTTTGAGTTTTGGTTGTGTCTCCCCTTTTATTTCTTATATACAATTTGAAAGTAAGACACTTAAGAAAACTGACTAAAATATAACAGAGGAAAATCACAAAGTGATAGCATTTTATAATTATTTCATTGGCAGAAATTAAAAAGTCAAACAAATCCATGTTTTGGTGAGCATGTATACAATGAAAACTCCCATACACAGCTGAAAGAAGTGAACATTGTAGAACAATTTTGGAAAATAATGTGACATTGTCTTTTAAAGGTGAATATGCATTTACCAGTATTTATGACAGCAGAAGATAACTCAGGTGGGGAATGATAATAATTATGCACAATTTTCAATTATGTATCTGGATAATTTACAGTGAGGGAAATGAGTTAACTACATAATAATATTATGCAGTTAACTACATAATAACATGAAAATAACATGCACCTCAGAAGCATGAAGTTGAACAAAAAAAGTAAGCCACAAAATACTTCTGTTGGATTTGCTTTTAATAGAATGCAAATCAATTTATTATTTTAAGGCACACATATGCATAAGCTATAAATGAAAACAAGAGGATGAGGATGGAAAACCCCAAATTCAAGATAGTAACTACTAAGACAAGTAGGGGGCTGGGAATGGAATGGACCAACAGTATGTTGAGCTTCAGGTTGGGTGTGCTCATGAGCGCTTTCCTTTTATGCTCTGAAACTTAGTTACCTTATTTGTATTTTCTTGGATTATAAAATGTCATTCAAACAGTAGTTTCATTGTACATGATATTATTTCATGCTTATGTGTGTTTGTATCTATGTGTCTATCCATTCAACCTATTGTGTATTTTCATTAGGAAACAAGTCAGCTTCCACTTTTCTTAGGAATAAGTCTGTTTTTCTCTCAGCTCCTGACCCCATGGTTACATGCTCATTTTCACATGCAAAATCATGAATCAAAGTGAACATAGAACACACACACACGATTACACGATTGTGTTTATAAATATTTATCTATGAATGAACATTCACATAGGTGAGTGAACACTCAGTGGAGATTTAATTGGTCAGGAAGGAGAGAAAGGGAGAGGACCAGCAATCAGTGGGTACCTGTGTTGTTTTGCCCTGATCTTTAAATGACAGGCATTAGTATCTAAGTCATGTCTGATACATAAATAATAATAATTTTTTTTTACTTTAGGTTTGAGTCTTGTGAGTTATGGTTTTGTAGATGCTGGAGAGTGGTCATTAGTTTACGTTGCATTGTTAGGTTGAGTCTTTCCACATGTCTGATTGGGATAAGAAGCTGCCAGTCCAGGCAAGATTCTTCACAGTTCTACAAAAATAGATCATACTACATGTGGTTAGTGCATTGGATCTTTTACTTATTTATTTTTACATTTATAGCATATATTAGTTGTACAAAGGGGTTTCATTGTGATACTTCTATATGTTCATATAACATACTTTGATCAAATTTGCCCTCTATTACTCTTTTTCATTCCCTTTTAAACTATTTGTAAGAAGTTTCTTTATTTGATTTTCTTTCTTTGTTTCTGCCTTTCTTTCATCTTGTTTCTTCCTTCCTTCTGTTCCTTTTTCCTTCCTTTTTTTCTTTCCTCTTCTTTCTTTCATGGTACTTGGGGTTGAGCCAAGGCCTTGCTCTTGCTTGGAAGGTGCTGCACTGCTTGGGTCATGCCCTCAGCCCTCCATTTTCGTTATAGGTTCCTTATTCTCTACATGTAATCATGTGGCTCCAGATCTCAAGTTTTTAAAGGAGACATTCTAGGAACAGAGGGCAGAAAAGGCACAAATTGTCATTCTGTTCTCTTTATGCAAATATTCTCAGAGTATCTAAATCCTACTTCTATGCTCTGCTCTGGGAAGTTTAGACAGCTCACTCATACAGATAGAGTTTACCCTCTTTAGAATATAAGAAAAATTAAACTGGGTGTGGTGGCACGTGCCTGTAATTCCAGCACTCAGGAGGTTGAAGTAGGAGGATTGTGAGTTTGAGATCAGCCTGGGCTATGTACTGAGACCCTGTTTCAAAAAACCAAGCCAAACCAAACCACAAAAAAACCAAAACAAAACATGAGAAAAGCTATATACTTTGAGTAAAGACAGCCCAGCACAGGAAAAAGAAAGAGCAGCCATTCTCCTGGAAAACTATCCTTCAGCTGCTCCCACAGGCTGACCCTCCCTGTGTGCTTCTTCTCTGGAAAACACAGGAAAGAGTGGGAAGTCTGGGAACCCTGGAAAGCACCTTTTGACTCTGGGATGACTGTGGGTCCCTCCCTTTCGTGAATGTCATGATGGGGATATGAAATAATTGACAATGACCTTAAAGTGAAATTCATTAATCAGTGAATAATAGCCAGAGAGGCTGGGAGCTTCTAATTTCTCTAAAGAGAAATTTGGAGGTGCACCATAAAAGCTGTGATTGCTATAGGGACAAAGCTGCCTGAGACCTAAGTCCTAAATTTCCTGAGATGTAAGACAATATTTGTGGAGCAGGGCACATGAATGTAAATGCTGAACCTCCCTTTCCACCTCATATGTGAATGTTATAGTAGGATTTCCTTGACTCAGTAGTACAGCATCGGGAAGCTCCCAGAATCCATTCTGAAGTCTGCTCGCAAAGGCTGTACAGGTTTGCAGGGAAGATCGGTATCAAGTCACAGCCACACTTTTGGGAAGTGTGGCTTTACCATATAACACCAATCTGAAGACCTGGTAGGAAAGTTGCGAATGTCTTAGGATGAGAGTGACAGATCCACAACTGATTTAGGCAGGTGCTTCAAGTGGAATTATTTTGCATTTCAATGCTCATGAATAAATCCCCTCAACTAAGCCATATAAAGAACCCACATGACTCTGTTTTTAGGAGATTGCATAAAATATTTATGTCTATGTCCTCTTAACAATTATTTTCCCTAAGAAAAATAATAATATATAAAATGTGATTAAAAATGTACCTGGTAACAAATAACTTGGCAATTAACTCATTCATTTCTTCATTCTCATAGTTAGGATGTATTGTAAAAAATAACTATCACCTTTGACTTTTCAAACTGGAAATACATTGTATCTCAGTTGCTACATGTTTGGTGGTAGGAAACCAAAACACAATGTAGATTTCATATCAGTGAAATATCAAATATCTCATTAGAGTTTCAGGTCTATAGGAGGGGGCCTTTTAATTACTCTGCTTTCCCTCCTGAAAGTTTAGCAAGAATTAAGTCATTTGCAGTGACAGTGGGCTCTGCCAGCTGAGTGGAGGCTTTGGTGAAATGAGTCAGTCAATGTATCAGTCCTTTTCCAGCCACTCTGTCTTGGAGAGTCAGCTAGCTACTGAGAGTGACTGCTATTACAGAGTAATTGCCAATGTGGTTGGAATTCTTTTAACAGAAAGAATTCCTTCTCTAATTTAGTTTAACTTGTATGTGAGCTTTTCCCCTCTATGACTGTATTTTCCATTGAAATTAACTTTCTAGGAAAAGAACCTCAACAGTTAAGTGAAGCAAGTATAATATGTAACAAGTTTGTAAAAAATTGATAACACTTTTGAGATGCCACAAAGGAAAATCAATAATAAAAACATTTACTTTAAAATATTAGATGAGAGAAACTTATAAGTGTTTGTTTCATTCTAGAACTTGTATGTTTAGAAACCTTTTCTAGTTTGGCCACGATCCACAGTAGAAAATATATGTCATACTGTTACTGTCCCCAACTGCCACATAAGAAATTTAGCAGTTTTATGAAATAACACATGGAATATATTTTGATATTTTCCATTCTATATTATTGCAAAAGAAAATTCTGGGACTGGTGTGGTGGTGCATGTCTGCAATCCAGCTGCTCAGAAGGTGGATATAGGAGGATTGCTGTTTGAGGCCAGCCTGGGGAAAAAGTTTCTAAGCCCTATCTCAAAAAACAAGCTGGACATTGTGGCTACTAGGGAGGCAGAGGTAGAAGGATTGTGGTCCAAGGCTATTGAGGCATAAGTACCACCCTTTCCCAGCAGACCCTGTCTAAAAACAAATTAAAACAAAAGGCTTGGGGTGTGACTCAGGTAGAACACTTGCCTGGCAAGCACAAGGTCCAGAGTTCAAATCCCAATACTGCCAAAACAAAGAAAATTCTGTTCATAACCTAATGAATTGATTCCATAATCCCACTAGATTTAGAAAAACATGATTGCAAAATTCGAACCTATAGGTTAATAGCTTAACAAAGCAAAGTTGTAACTCCAGGGCATCAGCATTTATGAGAAAGATTTTCTTAACACTGAACTTCCTTTTTTAATAAGAACTAATCTAATGGGCTCTAAGATTCTGTATTGAAGTGAGGTACAGTGTTTGTCCTCTTAAGCTCCATGCCACATAGAGACCCTCAAGAAATTTTGGAAAGAGAAAACCCACTGGAGATCCACAGTGGTGCCAGTCATGGCTGAATTTATAGCCAGGGTTTTTAGTGCCTCGTGGTTCGAGGATTCAAAACTGACCTAAGGGTTTGCATTAGGAGCACACAGAGTAAGACCTATGCTCCAAGATTCACATAACTTATTCTGTGTCCTTTAAATGGCCTATGGTTTTTAAAGAAAAATAACCCAAATGGGTTAATCCAAAATTTTATCTTCAAGTTGTTAAAAATCAAGACAGGTTCATTGTGTTATGTTGGATTAAAATCTTAACTCCAGAACTGAAACAACCAAAGGAAAATACATTTAAAACTGCATGCTTCATGGAACTGGAGATCATCATGGTAAGTGAAATAAGCTGGACTCAGAAGGCAAATACCACATGTTTTCTCTCATATGCTGAATTTAGATCTATAGAAAAATGATGGACATGAAAACAAACAGGACTATTTGGGGGATGAACAAGGGTGAGGGAGGAGAATGTGACCAAGGTACATTGTATGTATGTATAAAAAGGTCATAATGAAACCTATTTAAAAATTACAAGAAAGATAAAAAAGGGGGAGAGGGAAGAAAGACTAATGGAGGGGATGAATATGACAAAGTCTATTATATATATGTATAGAAATATCACAATGAAATTCCTCACATTGTATAATTAATATGCTAATAAAACTGCATCCTCGTTATTATGCTGTTGACCTTGACATTCAAGTGGCTAAAAATGTGAATGTTATGAAATGAACCTGGAATATAGACAAATTCTTTCCTTTTAATTTTTAAGATTATGAAAATTGAATGGAAAAGAAAAATTGTAGTTGAACAGAAATACTACCTGGTTCTGAGATGGAATATTTTTTTTAAAAAATCTCTAAAGATGATAATCTAATGTGACATGTTTGGGGCCTTGTGTGCAATTTATTTCTGACCTGGATCTTTACCCAATTCCCAGGTGAGAGTTTCACACCTCTCCTTTTACCTTATTTCTGCCCTCCCTGAGCTACCAGCTGGGGCCCGCTGAGAGCTGCCACTCTGCATTTTCCCCCCTCCCTTCCTCCCAGGCTTATGTTCAAACAGCCCAATGGCTCTGTGTCAAGTGCATGTTCCATGTTTGAACAGTTACTATGGAGTGCTTCTAATAATTACATTTACAAAACACAAATAGTGAGGTTAGCACTAACTCAACCCTGCTTTTGTTTCATAAGACAATTAAAATGATTTTTCTAGGTAGAAATGTTCATTTGGGGAAACAAAATTTTGTTTAAAAAGAGATTTAGAAGGACTGAATAAAGAATAAAACCAATTAAATATCAGTGGGAAATTAAATGACTACCCATTGTATCTCACACCAATGAGAGAATCTGAACTCAGAGAAATAGAAACCAGTGTCTGTCTGTCTATGTCTGCTATTGGATTATTTACTTACTCCATGCTTCAGTTCTAGCCTCGATGCCCTGGTTGCCAACAGTGAAGGAGAAGTGCATTCCGAGCAGCCACACCTTTGCCACACTCCAGCATCTCAGAGTTCCTCAGAAACTGCGGTTCCTACTGGGGATGAATTGGACTCTTTGGAGACCAACACTGAACCAGATTTTAACATCTCTAGGACGGAATCACTTTCTCTTTCAAACACTCTGCAGTCAAAGGTATTCCCATTATATTCAGTTTATTTTAAGGGCACAGAATATGTTGTCTAGAGTATCCCACTCTGTCTGAAAGACAATTCTGTTTTACTCACTAGGAACTAATTTTGTGGAGAGGGGGCGGGGGGAGACTTGTGTGGTATCTGCTTGTGTCGTCTTTTTTTCATTCTTTTATTATTCATATGTGCATACAAGGCTTGGTTTTTCTCCCCCTGCCCCCACCCCTCCCTTACCACCCACTCCCCCCTCCCCTCCCCCCTCAATACCCAGCAGAAACTATTTTGCCCTTATTCTAATTTTGTTGTAGAGAGAGTATAAGCAATAATAGGAAGGAACAAGGGGTTTTGCTGGTTGAGATAAGGATAGCTATACAGGGCATTGACTCACATTGATTTCCTGTGTGTGGGTGTTACCTTCTAGGTTAATTCTTTTTGATCTAACCTTTTCTCTAGTTCCTGGTCCCCTTTTCCTATTGGCCTCAGTTGCTTTAAGGTATCTGCTTTAGTTTCTCTGCGTTAAGGGCAACAAATGCTAGCTAGTTTTTTAGGTGTCTTACCTATCCTCACCCTCCTTGTGTGCTCTCGCTTTTATCATGTGCTCATAGTCCAATCCCTTGTTGTGTTTGCCCTTGATCTAATGTCCACATATGAGGGAGAACATACGATTTTTGGTCTTTTGGCCAGGCTAACCTCACTCAGAATGATGTTCTCCAATTCCATCCATTTACCAGCGAATGATAACATTTCGTTCTTCTTCATGGCTGCATAAAATTCCATTGTGTATAGATACCACATTTTCTTAATCCATTCGTCAGTGCTGGGGCATCTTGGCTGTTTCCATAACTTGGCTATTGTGAATAGTGCCGCAATAAACATGGATGTGCAGGTGCCTCTGGAGTAACAGTCTTTTGGGTATATCCCCAAGAGTGGTATTGCTGGATCAAATGGTAGATCGATGTCCAGCTTTTTAAGTAGCCTCCAAATTTTTTTCCAGAGTGGTTGTACTAGTCTACATTCCCACCAACAGTGTAAGAGGGTTCCTTTTTCCCCACATCCTCGCCAACACCTGTTGTTGGTGGTGTTGCTGATGATGGCTATTCTAACAGGGGTGAGGTGGAATCTTAGTGTGGTTTTAATTTGCATTTCCTTTATTGCTAGAGATGGTGAGCATTTTTTCATGTGTTTTCTGGCCATTTGAATTTCTTCTTTTGAGAAAGTTCTGTTTAGTTCACATGCCCATTTCTTTATTGGTTCATTAGTTTTGGGAGAATTTAGTTTTTTAAGTTCCCTGTATATTCTGGTTATCAGTCCTTTGTCTGATGTATAGTTGGCAAATATTTTCTCCCACTCTGTGGGTGTTCTCTTCAGTTTAGAGACCATTTCTTTTGATGAACAGAAGCTTTTTAGTTTTATGAGGTCCCATTTATCTATGCTATCTCTTAGTTGCTGTGCTGCTGGGGTTTCATTGAGAAAGTTCTTACCTATACCTACTAACTCCAGAGTATTTCCTACTCTTTCTTGTATCAACTTAGAGTTTGGGGTCTGATATTAAGATCCTTGATCCATTTTGAGTTAATCTTGGTATAGGGTGATATACATGGATCTAGTTTCAGTTTTTTGCAGACTGCTAACCAGTTTTCCCAGCAGTTTTTGTTGAAGAGGCTGCTATTTCTCCATCGTATATTTTTAGCTCCTTTGTCAAAGATAAGTTGCTTATAGTTGTGTGGCTTCATATCTGGATCCTCTATTCTGTTCCACTGGTCTTCATGTCTGTTTTTGTGCCAGTACCATGCTGTTTTTATTGTTATTGCTTTGTAATATAGTTTGAAGTCAGGTATTGTGATACCTCCTGCATTGTTCTTTTGACTGAGTATTGCCTTGGCTATTCGTGGCCTCTTGTGTTTCCATATAAATTTACAGTAGATTTTTCAATCTCTTTAATGAATGTCATTGGAATTTTGATGGGAATTGCATTAAACATGTAGATTACTTTGGGAGTATCGACATTTTTACTATGTTGATTCTACCAATCCATGAGCATGGGAGATCTCTCCACTTTCTATAGTCTTCCTCAATCTCTTTCTTCAGAAGTGTATAGTTTTCCTTGTAGAGGTCTTTCACATCTTTTGTTAGGTTTACACCTAGGTATTTGATTTTTTTGAGGCTATTGTAAATGGAATTGTTTTCATACATTCTTTTTCGTTTGCTCATTGTTAGTGTATAGAAATGCTAATGATTTTTCTATGTTGATTTTATATCCTGCTACCTTGCTATAGCTATTGATGATGTCTAGAAGCTTCTGAGTAGAGTTTTTTGGGTCTTTAAGGTATAGGATCATGTCGTCTGCAAATAGGGATATTTTGACAGTTTCTTTACCTATTTGTATTCCTTTTATTCCTTCTTCTTGCCTAATTGCTCTGGCTAGGAATTCCAGTACTATGTTGAATAGGAGTGGAGATAGTGGGCATCCTTGTCTGGTTCCTGATTTTAGAGGGAATGGTTTTAGTTTTTCTCCGTTAAGTATAATGCTGGCTGTAGGTTTGTCATATATAGCTTTTATAATGTTGAGGAACTTTCCTTCTATTCCTAGTTTTCTTAGAGCTTTTATCATGAAATGATGTTGGATCTTATCAAAGGCTTTTTCTGCATCTATTGAGATGATCAAGTGGTTTTTGTCTTTGCTTCTGTTAATGTGGTTTATTACGTTTATTGATTTTCGTATGTTGAACCACCCCTGCATCCCTGGGATGAAGCCTACTTGGTCGTGGTGATAATCTTTTTGATGTGTTGCTGAATTCGGTTTGCCATTATTTTGTTGAGGATTTTTGCATCAATGTTCATTAAGGAGATTGGCCTATAGTTCTCCTTTTTGGAGGTGTCTTTGCCTGGTTTTGGGATAAGTGTAATACTGGCTTCATAAAATGTGTTTGGCAGTTTTCCTTCCCTTTCTATTTCATGGAACAGTTTAAGGAGGGTTGGTATCAGTTCTTCTTTAAAGGTCTGATAGAATTCAGCAGAGAATCCATCAGGTCCTGGACTTTTCTTTTTGGGGAGACTCTTGATTGCTGCTTCAATTTCATTTTGTGTTATAGGTCTATTCAGGTGATTAATTTCCTCTTGGTTCAGTTTTGGATGATCATATGTATCTAGAAATCTGTCCATTTCTTTTAGATTTTCAAATTTATTTGAATATAGGTTCTCAAAGTAGTCTCTGATGATTTCCTGGACTTCCATGGTGTTTGTTGTTATCTCCCCTTTTGCATTCCTGATTCTACTAATTTGGGTTTTTTCTCTCCTCATTTTAGTCAGGTTTGCCAGGGGTCTATCGATCTTGTTTATTTTTTCAAAGAACCAACTTTTTGTTTCATTAATTCTTTGTATGGTTTTTTTGGTTTCTATTTCGTTGATTTCAGCTCTTATTTTTATTATTTCTCTCCTTCTATTTGTTTTGGGATTTGCTTGTTCTTGTTTTTCTAGGAGTTTGAGATGTATCATTAGGTCATTGATTTGGGATCTTTCATCTTTTTAATATATGCACTCATGGCTATAAACTTTCCTCTCAAGGACTGCCTTAGCTGTGTCCCATAGGTTCCGGTAGGTTGTGTTTTCATTTTCATTGACTTCCAGGAACTTTTTAATTTCCTCTTTTATTTCATCGATGATCCATTCTTCATTAAGTAATGAGTTATTTAGTTTCCAGCTGTTTGCATGTTTTTTGTCTTTACTTTTGTTGTTGAGTTCTACTTTTACTGCATTGTGGTCAGATAGTATGCACGGTATTATTTCTATTTTCTTATATTTGCTGAGGCTTGCTTTGTGCCCTAGGATATGATCTATTTTGGAGAAGGTTCCATGGGCTGCTGAGAAGAATGTATATTGTGTAGAGGTTGGATGAAATGTTCTGTAGACATCTACTAGGTCCATTTGATCTATTGCATATTTTAGATCTTGGATTTCTTTATTGAGTTTTTTGTTTGGATGACCTATCTATTGATGATAATGGAGTGTTAAAGTCTCCCACAACCACTGTGTTGGCGTTTATATATGCTTTTAGGTCTTTCAGGGTATGTTTGATGAAATTGGGTGCGTTGACATTGGGTGCGTACAGATTGATGATTATTATTTCCTTTTGGTCTATTTCCCCTTTTATTAGTATGGAATGTCCTTCTTTATCTCGTTTGATCAATGTAGGTTTGAAGTCTACTTTGTCAGAGATAAGTATTGCTACTCCTGCTTGTTTTCGGGGCCATTGCTTGGTAAATCTTCTTCCAGCCTTTCATCCTAAGCATATGCTTATTTCTGTCGGTGAGATGAGTCTCCTGTAAGCAACAAATTGTTGGATCTTCTTTTTTAATCCATTTTGTCAAACGGTGTCTTTTGATGGGTGAATTAAGTCCATTAACATTAAGTGTTAGTACTGATAGGTATGTGGTGATTCCTGCATTTAGTTTCTTAGTTGTTTGAAGGTTTGATTGTGTGTACCTAACTTGATGTTACTCTCTACTGTCTTGCTTTTTCTTATCCTGTGGTTTGGTGCTGCCTGCCTTTTCATGGTTAAGTTGGGTGTCACTTTCTGTGTGCAGGATCCCTTGCAGAATCTTTTGTAATGGTGGCTTTGTGGTCACATATTGTTTTAGTTTCTGCTTATCATGGAAGACTTTTATTGCTCCATCTATTTTGAATGATAGCTTTTGCTGGGTAGAGTATCCTGGGGTTGAAGTTATTTTCATTCAGTGCCCGGAAGATCTCACCCCACGCTCTTCTTGCTTTTAATGTTTCTGTTGAGAAGTCTGCTGTGATTTTGATGGGTTTACCTTTGTATGTTACTTGTTTTTTCTCTCTTACAGCCTTCAATATTCTTTCCTTAGTTTCTGAACTTGTTGTTTTAATGATGATATGTCGTGGAGTAGTTCTATTTTGATCTGGTCTGTTTGGTGTCCTGGAGGCCTCTTGCATCTGTATGGGAATATCTTTCTCTAGATTTGGGAAATTTTCCGTTATTATTTTGTTGAATATATTACGCATTCCCTTCGCTTGCACCTCTTCTCCTTCTTCGATGCCCATGATTCTCAAGTTTGGTCTTTTGATGGAGTCGGTGAGTTCTTGCATTTTCTTTTCACAGGTCTTGAGTTGTTTAATTAATAGTTCTTCGGTTTTTCCTTTAATTACCATTTCATCTTCAAGTTCTGAGATTCTGTCTTCTGTTTGTTCTATTCTGCTGGATTGGCCTTCCGTTTTGTTTTGCAGTTCTGTTTCGTTCTTTTTTCTGAGGTTTTCCATATCCTGGCTGTTTTCTTCTTTAATGTTGTCTATTTTTGTCCTGAGTTCATTTATCCATTTATTCATTGTGTTCTCTCTTTCACTTTGGTGTTTATACAGTGCTTCTATGGTTTCCTTTATTTCTTCTTTTGCTTTTTCAAATTCTCTATTTTTATTGTCTTGGAATTTCTTGAGTGTCTCCTGTACATTTTGGTTGACCCTATCCAGTATCATCTCTATAAATTCTCATTGAGTACTTGTAGTATGTCTTCTTTTAAATTATTCTTGTGGCTTCATTGGGTCCTTTGGCATAGTTTATCTTCATTTTGTTGGAGTCTGGATCTGAGTTTCTGTTTCTTCATTCCCTCTGGTTCCTGTACTAATTTTTTGCTGTGGGGAAACTGGTTTCCCTGTTTTTTTTCTGTCTTCCTGTCATTGTCTTGGTGTTGTTACTGTCCCTGTACTGTGTGTAATTAAGTATTTTCTAGCTTGTAATAATAACAATGGTAATATTAGAATGGAAGAGTGAGCTGAGATGGAAAGCAAGAAGTTAAAGAAAAGGGGAAAACAAATATACAGACAAGAGGAGAAAGCAGAACAAGGTATCAGACAAGAGAGTTTCAAAGGTATAAACAGGGAGTGTTAGTGTACTAATCGACAGTAAGCTGAACAGACAATAGAGAGACAGAGAGAGATTGAAAATCAAAGATAAAAAAAATAAAAAAATAAGTATATGAAAGTAATATCTATTTATAAAAATGAATTAAAATAAAATGGAAAATAGAAATTAAAAAAAAAAAAAAAAACCAAAAAACTTCCAAGTTTATATGCAATGCAATTTCAGTCTTAATAATTTGGATGTCCGTCTCAATCTCCAGTCCTGGAGTTGGTGCCTCAGATGTTGTTCTGTAGTTGTCTCATCAAAGGGGATGCATAAAGTAGAACAAAACTACACTCACACACACACAGAAGAAAAAAAAAAAAGCCCCACCAAGTGTCCCCAGTTCAAATGCAATAGTTTCAGTAAGTTTTTCGGCTTGCAGGTGTAATTCGGTTGTTCTCTCATCAAAGGTAGGGAGAAAAAGAAAAAAAAAGCGTCTGGAGGCAGTTCTGAGAGTGGTATCTGCAACTGTGGCTTGCCTGCCTGCTGCTCTCAGCCTGTAGCTGGCGGCGTTATTTATGCAGATCTCTGGGGTGAGCTTAGCACTCACCTGGTCCCACAGGCTTTGTTTGCTCAGAGTTCTCCTGTGCGGGGAGGGGGCCTCTGCTACAGGCTTTTCCCTTTCCAAGCACTGGGAAAGGCGACACTGCCCTGCGTTGTCAGGCCTGTGTGTTTATTTACAGTTCACGTGGGAAGTGGGTCTTCCCTCCTCTCACAAGCGTCCCTGCTCCTGGTTGCTGGCGCGCCCCGCTCCCGCCAGAGCCTCTCCGGCCCGCCCGGCTCGTTTCTTTACAGTCCCGGGAAGGCTTCCCTTCCCCCAATCTTCAGCGCTCAGGGCGCCCCACCCTCTTTCCAGCGTCTTAACTGTTCTTATTGCTTAGTACTCAGTTTCTCTTTTTTTCCCGGGTGGAGGTCAGTCTGTCCAGGGGGCTATGCTGCTCTGGCCCAGGCTTGTCTGTGGGGGAACCGCGGTACCGCGAAGCTCACCTGGTCCGCGTCTTCCCAAGCCGTATGGGCGCCGGCCACTGGCGGCCCGGGGGCCTCCTCGGTTCTCCGTTTAACGTGAAGTGGAGATTCTCTGCGCCGGCTAACTGTGCAGCACAGGTGCCCTCAGACGTGGCGGTCCGAAGTCAGTCCGGCTCCCCAAATCCTGTGTCTGTCTTTTTAATCTCTGACTGTCTTAATTTTTACAGTCCTTGCAATGACTGAGTTATGTTTTTATAAATTCACATGGAGTACCTGTCAAATATGAACATTTGGTGCAATAATTCCTACCAACCTCCCTTAAGGCAGGGAGAAAAGCCAGTAGTATTAAATGATGTCAAGTGGCCAACTTATTTTGCTCACATGAATATCCACCTGGTCCAGATGTGGAGGTAAACAATGTTAGCAAGGTGGAGGGAAGGTTTGTCGAACATTCCTACATTCCTGATGTCCTGAATGAAACCAGCCTTATAAACTGTTAGGTTTTCCACGAGTGACAGCCTTTCTCTAAGTTGGCAGCTTCACTTTGTTGTTAAAAAAAAAAAAGCCCAATACCTTCTTCCAGTCTTGCAAAGAAAGCCCTTGTGTGTTTGATCGAGTATGTTTCTACTGATCTGATTTAGGTTATTGCCTACTCATTTCTTTTTGAAACTGAATTTACCACTGTAAAACAATGCAGCACTGCTGCAAGTTGTCTTATCAACGTACAGTTGAACCTAAGATAATGCCTTACTTTTTGGAGCATGTTCTACACTATAACAAATGTGTTTATGTTTCAAAATATAGACTATTTTCTAACTCATTTAGGACCTAAGTAGTGTTTTTTTTTAATTTTATTTTTGAGGCAGATAAGGTTTCTGGAAGGGTTGGAGTTTTGTCTAAGTACTCCCAGCTTGGTGATACAGTCATTACTCAAACCAAAGGCCTCTGATCACAGATCTTCGATCCTTTCCCTTCAGCTCTGACGTGTGTATAGAATCATTATCTTTGAATCTGAACATCATGGTGATATTTCTGGTAATAATACATGGGATCTGGAGGTGTGGTTCAAGTGGTAGAGCGCCTGCTTTAAAAGCTCAAAAGCCCTGAGTTCAAACCCTAGTTCCACCAAAAAAAATGAAAAAAACCCCAGCAACACATGGGGTTGGGGGTGTGTAGCTCAGTGGTAGAGTACTTGCTTAGCCTATGCAAGACTCTGAGTTTGATCCCTAGCACCACAAAAGCAAACAAACAAAAAAATGAGTATAATCAAAGTAAAAACAAAAGAAAGAAAGGTGAACATTTGCTAATGTTGATGCTAATTAGCTTTGAATTTTGAATGTAATTTAAAAAATTGAACATTACTTGGAATGAGAAATAATTCAGAGTTTGAGAAATAGCTTCATGTTGTTCATTTTTAGGAAGAATCATCCTGTAAAGCATATCTTGCCTTCCTCTGTAATTACCCAATTTAACTTTGCCAAAGGGTTTTGGACAATTTTCAAAGTTCCATTGTCATGAGAAATGATTACCACACATGACTTAAATGAAGAGGATTACATTTGGCTAGGGCCTTTGTAGCTCATTATTAGCCTTACAGGCCAGCTCAGCATCCTATAACCCTTCTCAATACCCACCCCCAGTGGGTGGGTGCTCCCTGATAAGATATTCGGGAAGACACAGCCAAGACTATTTTGAAGCTGCTCAGCTTCTATTCCCAGCTTTCTTTCTCCCAGCTCTTTAGCCAGTGAACTCAGGGGAACCATGTGTTTTTACTTAGGAGGAGCAGAAGAGACTGGTACTTGTGAAGGACAGTTTCTGATGGCTTAATTTTAATAAAGTAATTTACATTTCTTCTTTACTCCTAACCTTAAGTGATATCTTAAAATGCATGGCTAGGCTTAAGCCTGAAGTCTCTATGGAATAGGAGTTAGATGCTATAAGTGGACTTAATGGAGTTCTGTTGCATATTCATCTAAATTTTCTGGAATGGTGAAGAAAGCCATGTTTTAATTAGCTTGCCATCTAGCATTTCATGTATGTTGCCAATATAATATAGAAATAATATGCAGTTGGGAAAAACAGGAACAAAAATGTCAGGTCATTAAAAGGGAATAATATTAAAAAAATATAACACCAGTGATAGTCAAACATCACTCCAGGAATGCTGGATGAAGATACTTGAAAAATGAGCACAGACAGGAAGGACTTAGGCGTTGATCTGAAGTATTTCTCTGAGAGACTGCAGCTGACCATTGTAAATTGAAATAGCTATTTAGAAAACCTTAAAAACTCTTATAATTCCACATGGCTATTGCTCTACCTTCTTAAATATGGAGATCTCAGTTGGTATAGAATTCTGTTCAAATACTATGATATAAAATAATAAAAATAACTGGCAATCCAGTCAAACTGATAGTTGTTTATGCAGAGAAAAAGTCATTTGACTTTAGTTTTTCATTTTGAACTAAGTTGGTTGGAATGGCATAATTGCATCCTAAGTATATTAAAAGACTATTCCAAAAGCTCAACTTTATGAAAGCATTAAAAAGAGAATATTTAAAAAGCTGTGAGGGGCAAACAGAAACAAATAATAGATCATGTAAGAAACATTCAGGTTGAATGTTTTTTCAAAGCTACTGAATCAGTAAGATTCAAGGTGAACACATACTTTCAGTCCCATGTAGAATTTCTCTTGAAACTTCATTATTATCTCTTTTAGGACTCACTGTTTTCTGGAATCCGCTCACGATCTTATTCCTGCTCATCACCCAAAATTTCTTTAGGAAAATCTCGGCTGGTGCGTGATTTTACAGTGTGCAATTCAAGTGAGGGTAAGCATATTTACCATTTGGCTTTGAAAGCATTGTTCCAGATCAGATTTTCAGTTAGTATAAGTACATAAAAAACAAAAACAATAGACAAGTTTTAATTCCATTTCTAAGTTGATTTTTCTAATCTTAGCAAAACTTTTCTCAGTTGTTGCAGATTTAATTTTGATGAGATTACACATACATTTGCACCTCTCTGTTACTTTATGATTTGAATAAAACATTTGCTTCAAGGAACATTCTAATATATTATTACTGTGAGGGTTTTAGAGGAGTATATTTTAAATAAATTATACAAATTACTTTTGTCCTATATATAAAGTGCTAAAGTAATCCAACTCCTCAGAGCAAAGCATTGCAAAATAGAGTTTCTTTCCTTCTTTGTTTATAAGGGTCTTTGGAAAGATAAAATGGCCACATAGTCACAACACAAATAGATATGTCCTTTTTTGGAGGGAGATGGCAATGTAAGTAATCAGAAATATAACTTTTACATATTAAAGTTTTAATTGAAATATGGCATATTTAAAAAAGGATGCAAATATAAGCTTACAGCTTGATGAAATTTTCAAAAGTGAATTCTAAGCATAAATAGAATACTTATGGACAACTTTGAACTCCCCTGATAGGTTTTCTCAGCCATTCTGCCCCATACTGTGAAATGCAAGTATTTCTTTCTGTAATAATTATATTATGTAATAATTATATCTGAAGGCACATTTGGAGTATTCACGCCATGTTAAGTAACATATATATTAATGATATTTTTTTCAATCTATTAGTGAATGCCTTTCTTGTCTCTTATCCTTAAGAATCATAAGAGGTTCAGAGAGCAAGAGGACATTCGTAA